CTGCATCACTGAACACAGTGAGCTGCAGCCTACTCCCGCCAGTCTTGGGGAAGATGATCCCCTGATCCACCGTCCCTTTGACGTAGCGCAGTAGCCGCTTCACCGCAGCCCAGTGATCCTCTCTGAGATCCTCCATGAAGCGACTGACGTAGCCCACGGCGAACGCAATGTCCGGCCTCGTGTGGACTAGGTAGCATAGACCGCCGACGATGCTCCGATAGAGTGTTGCATTCACCTTCGCCGTGGTGCTGGCCATCGTCAGCTTCAGCCGCTGCTCCATCGGAGTCACGCATGGCTTGCACTCAACCATGCCACTCCGTTCCAACAGCTTTGAGGCATACACGCTTTGACCGAGCATGAGTTCCTCCTTCCCCTGTCTCACCTCGATGCCGAGGCAGTAGGAGAGTGCGCCGAAATCGCTCATTCAAAAATGAGCCGCCATCTCGCTCTTGAAGCTGTTGATGTCCTCCGTACACGCGCCGATGACGATCAAGTCATCCACATACATGCTGACGTCGAGCTCCTCCTTCCTCTGTTGCCGTGTATAGAGCGCGTGCTCGGTTGCGCACCGCTAGAACCCAAGCTCGCCCAGCGTGGCATCAAGCTTGGTGTTCCATGCTCGTGGGGCCTGCTGTAGCCCGTAGAGCGCCTTGCGCAGTCGGAGCACCCTGTGCTCCTCTCCCTTGATGGCAAAACCTAGAGGTTGCCTGACGAAGACCATCTCCGCCAGCTCACCGTTGAGGAAGGCTGATTTAAACGTCCAAATGATGGACGCGCCAGTCCTTTGCTGCTGCCAAGGCTAGTAGCAAACGGACAGACTCCATGCGCGCTACTAGCGTAGAGACTTCCTCGAAGTCTATGCCCTCGTGCTGAACAAAGCCTCGGACGACAAGGCATGCCTTGTGCTTGATAATGGCACCGAGCTCGTCCCGCTTGACCTTGTACACCCACTTTAGGCTGATCGGACAACATCCTAAAGGTGGATCGACGAGCTGCCATGTCTCATTTTCGTTGATCGCCTTCATCTCCTCCAGCATCGCCCGTCGCCAGTTTCCATCGCGTTCGGCCAGCGCGAACGTGGGTGGTTCCTCTACGCTGATGAGCAGCAGCTCTTGATCATTGAGCAGCCGACTAGCCAGGCCTGAGGGCCCTGTGCCACCGACGATGTCGTTCAGCCTGCGGAACCGCACCTCCTCACCTTCGTGGAAGGCATCCACAAACTCAGTGATGTCACTTGGAGGTGAGGCGAACTCAATCAGTGTTGATGGAGTTCCCTGTTCCGCCGGAGTGCTCGGCACTCTGGTTGCAGTGCTCAGCACTACTTCTAGACAGCTCGTCGCTACTCCTACAGTGCTCGGCACCACTATAGGAGTGCTCAACCTCAGTCTAGGAGTGGTCAGCACCACTGCAAGACCTCTTGGCTCCGCCACGGGAGTGCTTGGCACCCGTCCTGAAGTGGTCGCCACCACTACAGAAACTCCCGGCACCACTCCTGGATTGTTGTGCTCGGCTCTGCCGCTGGAGTGCTCGGCACCCCTCCCGGAGTGCTCGACACCTGTTCCCCAGCGTCTCCACCACCGTGGATGACCAGGTGCTCAACGACAAAGGTGCTAGAGAAGCCGCCAACTTCCCCCGTGCTCGGACTGTTCTAGTCCCAAGCCGCCTTCTCGTCGAACACGACATCGTGCGAGACAAGCACCTTGTCTCCGCGTGGGTCATAGAGCCTGTACGCCTTGGTACCCTCTGCGTAGCCCAGTAACACCATCGGTGTGCTCCTGTCCTCCATCTTGGTGACGATCGGCTTTGTCTTCCTAACATGGCCGATGCAGCCGAATGTCCGGAGGAAGGACACGCTCGGCTTGCGCCCACACCAAGCTTCGAATGGCATTTTGCCCATCAGGGCCTTGGTTGAGGATGAACACCGCCGTGGTCACTACCTCTCCCTAGAACCTTGTTGGCATGCCTTTGGCCTTCAGCATGGATCGGGCCATGCCGACCACCGTCTGGTTCCGTCGCTCCACCACGCCATTCTGTTGTGGCAAATACGGCGCAGTGTGGTGTCGCACCACACCTAGATCCGCGTAGTACTCAGCAAACTCCACCGAAGTGAATTCGCCACCGCGATCAGTCCTCAGCACGCGGAGCTTCTTGCCGCTCTCGGCCTTCGCGCGCATCTTGAACTTCTTGATCGCCGCCGCCTCTTCGTCCTTGATTGTCAGGAGTTGCAGCCACATGTAGCGACTGCAATCATCCACGAGCAGGAGGAAGTACCGCCGACCACCGTTTGTGGCTGGTGTGATCGGCCCGCAGAGATCACCGTGGATGAGCTCGAGAGCGTCCTTCACGCGATACTTGGCAGCCTTTGGGAACGGTAGCCTCCTCTGCTTCCCGACCAGGCAGCTGTCACACAGCTCGCCTTCGTGCTTGATGTGGGGTAGCCCTCGGATCATCTTCTCCAGCCGACCAAGCGCGTTGAAGCTAAGATATCCGAACCGGGCATGCCACATCCACGGTTCCTCGGTGTGCCTTGCCGCCAGGCACACTAGTTGCTCTACCTTCAGGTCGAGCAGGTACAACCGGTTCTGAGACCTCTTCACCTTGGCGAGAAGTCGTTGCTCCCGGTCCCTGATCCTAAGACTCCGTCCTTGATTAGTACCTCGCTACCACGCTCATCCAGCTGACCAATGCTAATGATGCTGGAACGCAGCTGCAGGATGTAATATACATCCATTAGCGCGCGGTGCTCCCCGTTCTGGCATCTAAAGATGATGGTGCCGCGCCCTTGGATTTCCACCCTTGAGCCATCACCAAACTTCACCGTACCGATAACGTCGTTGTTGAGCTCAGAGAAGGATGCCTTGGAGCCCATCATGTGGTTGCTGGCGCTAGAGTCCAGGTACCACCGCTGCTCCTGGTCGGCGCCCACACGTCTGAGGTGGACTTGGGCACACGGTTCATCGAGGTTGACAGCCTTCAGGGCCTTTCCAGGTCCTTCCACCGTCGTCACCTCTTCCTTCTCCTCGGCCTCGACATCATGCAGTGCATAGAATGTCGCCATCAGGATAGTGGCCTCATCATCATCATCAGCTTGCGCCAAATGAGCCTCAGTCTTCTTCTCCTGCTTGCGATTTGGGCACTCCCGTGCCCAATGGCCCGTCTTCCCACAGCGTTGACAGGCGTTGGGGTCGACCTGCTTCTTCTTCTCCGAAGAAGCCTTGCCGTGGCGCTTGCCATTGCCACCGCGGCTGGAGGAGGCTACCTTCCCAAAGTTCCTCCGAGCAGCCCACTCCTCCTCTATCAGTAGCAGTTTGCCGCTGTCCTTCATTGCTATTGCCTACTCCAGGCGTTCATCCACCGCCCACAGACGGCCTGTCACATCCTCAATGGTGAGGGTGGACAAGTCCAGCATCGTCTCTATGGAGATAGCGATCTAGATGTACTTTGTCGGCACGGAGTGGAGGTACTTGGAGACCGCCTCCTCTTCATCGATGGTGACGCCGTGGCTCTTCAGCTTGCTGATGAGCGTCTGCAGGCAGAGGGAGAAATCCTCCACCGTTTCACCATCCTTGAACTTGAGGTTGGCGTACTCCTACTTCAGAAGCTGGGCCGTCGCCTTCTTTACGCGGTCGGAACCGACGCGCATCGCCGCAATAGCCTCCCACGCCTCCTTAGCAGAGCTCTTCGCCCCCAATGGCTCCCTGTACTCTGCCGGTACAGCAGCGAGGATAGCCTTCAACGCTGACATGTCATCTTCCTCATTGTCGGTGCCCTTGTCAACAGCATTCCAGAGCCGTCGGGCTCTGAGCTTGACCTTCATGGTCATCGACCACTCTCCATAGTTGGTGCAAGTCAGCGTCGGCCAACTGGTGCCGCTGACCTCCCGCACCGTGCGAACAACGACATCCGGTCATGGTTGGACAGCCACAGCAGTGCCACTGCTGTCATCCATCTCCAAACCGTTCGTCATCGCCAGCTGTTAGTTCGGCGACGGCGTTTGTACGGCTCCGATACCACTTGTTGGCCCACAGGATCACTGGCTTAGGTGAGTTGACCACTCACCAGTCTTGCTGAGCACCCGCTAGTGTTGCCGAGCACCAACTAGCTATGTCGACCACGAACAAGCGTTGTCCGACCACACACACTATGGCTAGAGGTAGAAGAAGAGGGAGAACATAGCATACACACAGTACAATCACCAGCGTTGGCTGGAGCCCTTTATAGAAGATGGCAAATCTGAACTCTCTTTATTGAGTTGCAGTGGCAAACTATATATACAACTCTATCCATCTAATCGCAGTACAGCTGCCCTGCTGCAACAGTGACTAGATAACACAGCAGGACTGACTTCTACGCCTGTCCCTGCATATGACTACAGTGCGGCATGTGAGCCGTTTGACGCCTGCCTCTACAGTGGCTACAGTACCACAGCAGAGAGCCTTTTCGGCGCCGCCTTCTCTTACTGTGTGTAGTAGATTATCTAACTGAGCTCCAGTCCAATTCAGAGAAATATATGAGATTTAATATCACAGTCGGCAGAAATCATAGGTTTGGCGCCCCATGGTCAGCTTTGAAGAGTGTATTATTAGCAAAGCCAAGACCCTGCACTGGAACCAGCTATCTAAACTCTTCAGGGACGTGCATGCCAAAACCGCGCTTCAACTTCTCGATCCTATTCAATAACAAGTAGATAACTGTAAGTATATGATCGTATTGGAATAGTCAGAGCTAGAAAAGCATGCATGCGCTGGAAGTTAAATAGTAGGATGCATGCCCTCAGAAAATTAATGACACAACTGCTTTGATGATTCTGGACTGGTTGATAGTTACACAGTGCACAGATGCTACAGGAACATAGGTAGAAAGATATTGGCTTTGAAGTACAAGGCCACTTGCATAAATTGGGAAGGTAGGGCAGATTCACATCTACAGTGATTTGATATTTCACTTGTGGTGCTGGGTTTGGTAATTTGTAAGAATAGCTCCACACTGGTTCTTTTGTTTTATGAGGAAACCCCAAAACAGTTTCGGGGGGCACGGTTTAAATATGGATCAGCATGCCCTTTGTGGTCCAACAATTCTAACCTGCAAAGAATTCATAAGATAACTAGGAATATATACAGAGAAGCCCATTGTTTTAAGGGTGGTTGAAGACTTGAAGGTCATGTTAAATGGAGTGTTTTTCTAGTGACGTTGAAATGGAGATTCAACATGGATGGAATCCTATGGGAGGGTAAGATTGGGAGCTTGTCATTAGATCTATCTGGCAGTTCTAGGTAAGAGTGCAACACAAAACTAAAACATAATTTTTGAAATAGCATGCATAAAATGTAAAGAAACTTACGTGGGAGCAAGTTTTCCAAGACTGCGTAGTTTTTTCCCAGTTGCTTCATCAATTACATTTCCTGACATCTCAATAGAATATGACTTTCCAGATGTCGGTGGTAGTCCTCTTCCTACAAGTAAATCTAGATCTCTTTGATGCAGTTCTCTGCCATTGACAAAAACACCAGTATCCCCACCGGCGCAATTTTTGGCCATCGGATAATTAAATTCTCTAATAAATGGCTGTAAAACAACAAGAGTATTCATGAGAAAAGAAAACTAGAGCAGTAGAACATTCTTATGTAGAAAATAGAAAGAACTCATCTTACAGGTACAATGCCAATACATTCTCGTCCCATGACACCCCAAAAACCAGCACGGTAGTCGTACCTAAGTTACCAACAGAAGAAAGAGAGATGTCAACATTTAACATTTTCTCAAACAAAAAGGAATCCCAAAAACACAGTAACAGAATCTAATTATACAGCAGTACCGGTGCATGCTTCAGATTGACATACGACCAGTGCATTTCATTATCCATGCCAAAATAATTCTCTAGCCAAGCTAAAAAAGCATATTCAAAAAGCTACAGGTACTAAACATCCATCCAATAGTTAAGTGAACTGTGTCACAGTTGATGCAACCTAAAGGTAAGAAGCTCAGCAGGCTTACACAGCTGCACAGAATGTATTTAAAATACGTCGTGACTACTACCAAATATAATTTCAGCTAGATAAAAATAAGAGAACAGTTAACAGATCATAGAATGGTCCTGACTATATAATTGCATTGCAGGAGGTAATACAATGACACCAGGAAGAGTAGAGATTGCATCCAAGCGAACATTTGCATGCTTGGTGACAGAAAGCAATGATGTGCTAATGCCATCACCTCGTACATCCTTGGCATAAGGGAGCAATACGCAAGTTCTATGATGTATTGCATTGAGCTACAGGCATTTAGGCCTTGTTTGGATGCTCATGTATTCATCTCAATCCACATGTGTTGAGGCGGATTGGAGTGGAATTGAACTAAGTTACATTACATTCCACTCCAACACATGTGGATTGAAGTGGATACACATGCATCCAAACAAGGCCTTAGTGGGAGCACTACCGCACTAGCAACACCAAACAGGAATGAAATTTCTGCATTGCTATGATCCTTTGGCAGCAAGCAGGGAGGCAAAATCCTGTCTAGAGATCAAATATTCAAATATGAAAAATGAGCTGATTGCTAAAAACTGGGCTTATTGCTTTAAAAAGTAGAATCAAGATCAATATCAGGCACATCCACACAAAGACTTGGGAAAGAATCCCAAAGGAGAACTCTTAGAGATGCTCTGTAGAACTAAATGTTCATAATATCTCCTTCTCATGTCCATCATGATTTTCTGTCAAATCGGATTTTGATGGTGATGTGTTTTTGCTAGCATGGCCTGTTGACGCGGTGGGCGACGTGAGTCTCCTAGCATGGCCTGATGCGATCGCCAGTCGCATCAGGACGTGACCAAGACGTGCTCCTGGGCGCGTGCCTCCACGCCGTAGTGGTTGAAGCGGTTTAGGTCCCACCCTGGGGCCACTGCTTTTGTCCGGTAGCAAATCCGACCCCCAGGGAACGGGCGAGGCGGAAATCTCGCCCTGGGGGCCGGGTGAGACGGAATCCGACCCTCGGGGGTCGGACGAGGCGGAGCCCTCCCCGTGGGACCGGATGAGTCGGAGCCCACGCCTTGGGGTCGGACAAGGCGGAAACTTCATCCTCGGAGTCCGAGCCCATGCCTTGGGGTCATACGAGGTGGAAACCTCGTCCTCAGAGTCGAAGCCCCATGCCTTGGGGTCGGACGAGACGGAAACCTTGTCCTCGGTGTCGGACGAGGCCGCAGTTGTGTCCTTAACCATCAGATGAGCTGACGTGACACTCATTAATCCTTTGACTCGGATACCCGGGTATAGATATCCGACACTTAAGCATCCTCAAAGTTCAGCCAAGACAGCCAGCTCAACACTCCTTCACCCTTTGCTGTCGGCTTGGTGCGGCAGTGGCGTACCTGAAGCGCGGCTATGCCGGAGAGCGGCACTGCCGTGACTTATCTGACCGTTGGAAACTGGGGAGGTATTTATACCTCTTCCTCTCCCTCACAACGGTCTTCTTCTTCGTCCAGCCTTTCAGACCGACGAAAAAGCTGCTCAGTGCTCACTCTCTCTCCTCCATTGGTGCATTCAAGCTCTCAAGCTTTCCTCTTGATTTCCACATCATTCTTTGAGAGAAAAAGGTTCTAAACTCGACTAGAGAGCAGATCCACTGATTCCCCAACTCTAAAGAGCACTTGATTAACGTTTTGGCCGGTGGTTGTGTTTGTTACTCTTGGAGCTTGGCTCCTAGCTGGCTAGAGCGTCGCCCGTGGAGTTTGCCAACTTGTGTGGCAGCCCCGGGAGGTTTGTAACCATCTCTTGAAGCTAGTAAACTCACCCCTCATCTCAAGAGTTGAGTCTCTTGACTTGAGAACGAGGAAGGGTTGCAAAGCCCTAAGCTTTAGTGGCTAACCTCAACAACGTGGATTTAGGCAAGTCTTAGTGATGAGCTGAACCATGGGATAAATCATTGTGTCACCGTGTGCTTGATTTACTTCACCTGCATTTTATATTGTTGTTGATGTGATTTCTAGGGTTTATGGCCGATCTACTTATATGTGCTTCTCCTACGATCTTTAGTTGTCGATCTGTGGTCTATACACCTGCAGGAAGCTCAGTAATTTCTCCAACCTAGCTTTCGATTTATAGATTTTGAACTGTGGTTCGAAGTTGTCTGCAGGTGTGGCAGTGCTGCTCTTCTGGCCCGGCAGTGCTGCGGGGTTGGAGCGGCAGTGCCACGGGTCGAAATTGACACTTGTTCAAGTTTTGTTTTAACAGGCCTATTCACCCCCCCCCCTCCCCCCTCCCCCCTCTAGGCTAACCATAGATTCTACAAATGTGCAATTTTAATGTACTGGGAGCTAGATGAGAAATCAAGACAAGTTCGAAGATGACAATGAAATTTACTTATTTTAATAATACTTTTTGTGGAAACAGGAGAGATTTACCACTACCGATCATATATATTATAAATAAAAAAAACATGAAAGACACAAGAGTTATTAGAACAAAAAAGTCAAGAATTTAAGTAGGGGCCTCCCCCGCTGTTCCCTCAAAAATAGTCAAGAATAAAATTAAAGAGATTACACAAAGTTCTTTAGCCATTTACTAATGAGTGGTTAATACTGCTTTTTGGCTCGGTGTAGCACGAGAGCGAACTAATTTTAATAATATTGAATTGATAAAGGTTTTCTTGATGATAGGGATCCTATGTAAAACCCTACCGATGTATGGGATTGTACAAGAAATTGAGAACTCTCACGGAGGAGTAGGATACACCTGAGACCTGTGTCCAGCATCCTTTAAAGTTTGAGACTTTTCTCTGTGTGCCATTATAAAAGATCGTAATGCCCAATGTGCCACTACTCTAACTTTTTCGTGTCCTCCATGCCACTTCCGTCAGTTTGAGCTCTAACGCCGTCAAACTGCAGGTGTGAAAAGACGAAAATACCCTTAAGTCTAAATATGTTATTAATTTTTTTGAGCATCTTAACGACTTCAAATGAAAAAACTCAAAACTAGAAAGTTGTAGATCTCGTCGAGATCTATAATTTTCATATAAAATTTATTTTCATTTAATTCCGCAAAAAAATGATGATTTTTCTAAGATATATTAATCATATCAAATCATATTTTTTTACGGAATTAAATGAAAATAAAATTTATATGAAAATTATAGATCTCGATGAGATCTACAACTTTCTAGTTTTGAGTTTTTTCATTTGAAGTCGTTAAGATGCTCAAAAAAAATTAATAACATATTTAGACTTAAGGGTATTTTCGTCTTTTCACACCTGTAGTTTGATGGCGTTAGAGCCCAAACTGACGGTAGTGGCATGGAGGACACGAAAAAATTAGAGTAGTGGCGCTGAAGACCGTTGAATTTTTCTAGGGGCACACAGGGAATTGCGATCTTTTATAATGGCACACAGGAAAAAGTCTCTTAAAGTTTTGTCCTTTGATCGCCTACGGAGTGTGGCACGTGTGTGTGTGTGTGTTGACGAATGGGAGTGTGACACTACTTCAGACTGCACACCGCGAATGCTGCTGCTAATTCATCCGTGGAAGTATCATGTGCGACTTTGTTCGCGATCGAAAGTTTTTATTATAGACAAAAGATGTAGATCGATAGTTTTATAATAAAAAAATGACAAAAGATAAGCAGAACATGCCAAGAAGAATCCCTGCAAAGCGACAATGGGGCGCATATTTCCACCGGATTTGACCCTGGCCGTAGACTCGGTATGATTGGCACTTTAGCAGCGCTGTGTACTGGAAGTCTGCAACAGCTCGGCGTACCTATCGGAGGGGGCAATGCTAACGCTTTCGAGTCTGTCCGCACTACCTGCGTGCCGCTGATAGTGCAGCCGTGGAAGAAACGGCGATGCCATGTTTCCTGCCGATAATCTTCTTTAAACACAGAGATGTAACTCGCTGGATCGGTAAGAACCGCACTTGTATTGTAGTATGACTTATCGAGTCCCTGTAAGGTGAGATCGCTGATCTGCGTTGGATCTGCGTCGAAACTGAGGCCGAGTATTCCTACAGAAAATCCCCCACCAGCAATGCTGGTTGCTTCACAGCACAGGAATGACAGCTATCTTAGTGGGGGGCAGAGGCTTATCAGGAGAGTTAGAAAGATCAGCCCGACTCAATCAGTGCAAGTACAGCAGATGGCTCCCAACTCCAGCATCCAGACCAGCAGCAATTATCACCAGGCACCAGTGTACTTGCATAATTGTATTGTCGCCGAGTCAACAGGAACTAAACATCAGTCACCTGTAACGCTCTCAAGACACTGGTTCTTCGTGCCAAGGGAGACATTCATGTGACGCGAGCTATTAAACTTACTGGTGTATACCAACTCCACGGCCATGCCCGTGGTTTTTTAAAACTGTACTTCGGTAGACATCAGATTGACAACTGCACCCATCAGATTTGAACAAAGTATACGGGTGTTTCAGGCTTCAAAATAAGACTAACAGGGTTCAGGAGAGCCGAAAGCCAACCATATCGGCAAGAGTTTCAAGAATCAAGAGCACGTATATACATATAAATGTTAGGGGAAGCATAGCTCTACCAGTATATTACAAGCCGACAATTGCTCATACATCTAACAATACTTCTGTGCCTGTGATGGGGCAATGTACCAATAACACATTTAAGGAATAGCTTGTACATGCTGAGCAGTGAAGTTAAGAACTGCCTGATAGACAGAGTGATAAGAGTCACTAGCAATCGTCGCATCCACTAAAGTAATGGAATTAGCAGGAGGGATACTATTGGTAGTTAAGTCATTAGACCACATTGTCTTGGCTTCTTGACTGCCACCCTTCGCTTCACACCAAGGATCTTAAGTACTGCTTGTAGAGCTCCAGTCCAATTCAGAGAAATATATGAGATTTAATATCACAATCCGCAGAAATCATAGGTTTGGCGCCCCATGGTCAGCTTTGAAGAGTGTATTATTAGCAAAGCCAAGACCCTGTACTGGAACCAGCTATCTAAACTCTTCTGGGACGTGCATGCCAAAACCACGCTTCAACTTCTCGATCCTATTCAATAACAAGTAGATAACTGTAAGTATATGATCATATTGGAATAGTCAGAGCTAGAAAAGCATGCATGCGCTGGATGCTAAATAGTAGGATGCATGCCCTCAGAAAATTAATGACACAACTGCTTTGATGATTCTGGACTGGTTGATAGTTACACAGTGCACAGATGCTACAGGAACATAGGTAGAAAAATATTGGCTTTGAAGTACAAGGCCACTTGCATAAATTGGGAAGGTAGGGCAGATTCACATCTACAGTGATTTGATATTTCACTTGTGGTGCTGGGTTTGGTAATTTGTAAGAATAGCTCCACACTGGTTCTTTTGTTTTATGAGGAAACCCCAAAACAGTTTCGGGGGGCACGGTTTAAATATGGATCAGCATGCCCTTTGTGGTCCAACAATTCTAACCTGCAAAGAATTCATAAGATAACTAGGAATATATACATAGAAGCCCATTGTTTTAAGGGTGGTTGAAGACTTGAAGGACAGGTTAAATGGAGTGTTTTTCTAGTGACGTTGAAATGGAGATTCAACATGGATGGAATCCTATGGGAGGGTAAGATTGGGAGCTTGTCATTAGATCTATCTGGCAGTTCTTGGTAAGAGTGCAACACAAAACTAAAACATAATTTTTGAAATAGCATGCATAAAATGTAAAGAAACTTACGTGGGAGCAAGTTTTCCAAGACTGCGTAGTTTTTTCCCAGTTGCTTCATCAATTACATTTCCTGACATCTCAATAGAATATGACTTTCCAGATGTCCGTGGTAGTCCTCTTCCTACAAGTAAATCTAGATCTCTTTGATGCAGTTCTCTGCCATTGACAAAAACACCAGTATCCCCACCGGCGCAATTTCTGGCCATCGGATAATTAAATTCTCTAATAAATGGCTGTAAAACAACAAGAGTATTCATGAGAAAAGAAAACTAGAGCAGTAGAACATTCTTATGTAGAAACTAGAAAGAAATCATCTTACAGGTACAATGCCAATACATTCTCGTCCCATGACACCCCAAAAACCAGCACGGTAGTCGTACCTAAGTTATCAACAGAAGAAAGAGAGATGTCAACATTTAACATTTTCTCAAACAAAAAGGAATCCCAAAAACACAGTAACAGAATCTAATTATACAGCAGTACCAGTGCATGCTTCAGATTGACATACAACCAGTGCATTTCATTATCCATGCCAAAATAATTCTCTAGCCAAGCTAAAAAAGCATATTCAAAAAGCTACAGGTACTAAACATCCATCCAATAGTTAAGTGAACTGTGTCACAGTTGATGCAACCGAAAGGTAAGAAGCTCAGCAGGCTTACACAGCTGCACAGAATGTATTTAAAATACGTCGTGACTACTACCAAATATAATTTCAGCTAGATAAAAATAAGATAACAGTTAACAGATCAAAGAATAGTCCTGACTATATAATTGCATTGCAGGAGGTAATACAATGACACCAGGAAGAGTAGAGATTGCATCCAAGCGAACATTTGCATGCTTGGTAACAGAAAGCAATGATGTGCTAATGCCATCAACTCGTACATCCTTGGCATAAGAGAGCAATATGCAAGTTCTATGATGTATTGCATTGAGCTACAGGCATTTAGGCCTTGTTTGGATGCGCATGTATTCATCTCAATCCACATGTGTTGAGGCGGATTGGAGTGGAATTGAACTAAGTTACATTCCATTCCACTCCAACACATGTGGATTGAAGTGGATATACATGCATCCAAACAAAGCCTTAGTGGGAGCACTACCGCACTAGCAACACCAAACAGGAATGAAATTTCTGCAGTGCTATGATCCTTTGGCAGCAAGCAGGGAGGCAAAATCCTGTCTAGAGATCAAATATTCAAATATGAAAAATGAGCTGATTGCTAAAAACTGAGCTTATTGCTTTAGAAAGTAGAATCAAGATCAATATCAGGCACATCCACACAAAGACTTGGGAAAGAATCCCAAAGGAGAACTCTTGGAGATGCTCTATAGAACTAAATGCTCATAATATCTCCTTCTCATGTCCATCATGATTTTCTGTCAAATCGGATTTTGATGGTGATGTGTTTTTGCTTCTCCTCACTATGAATCAACACCATTACAGAATAGAATAAACTAGTGCATGTGATGCAAACTGTAAATCAATAAAATACTACAACAACACTTACCAATATGAACCTGGGTCAACAGGACCAGCTTTCTTCTCTGCCTTCTTAAGGGCTCTTTCAGAGATTGAGTGACCATTAATTGAAACCTTAACATTGTCCATGGACTTATTTAATAAAGATAGGTCCTTGAAACCCTTCTTCAAGAAACCAGCAAAAAAGGATGAATCCCCACTCTTACCGGTTGAGGACTGATCTTCATCTAACCCAGCCTCTGATGAACCACGAGAAAACCCAGAATTTGTCCGCTCATTAATTGATGAACAACTCCCTGATTGGGAATTGGCATCTTCAATAAATGGCTGCTGCAGTTTCCCGTTATCTTCTTCAATTTTCAGCTCTTCATGTCTCTCACTTATGCTTCCAGTTTCTGTGACATCTTTATTATTTTCATCACAATTGTTGCTAACGCTCTCAGCTCCAAGAACACAATTTTCATCTCCTTTGACCTTTGGCTCATATTTGTTGCATGTGTCCTCACCTCCAGGGCTGCTAATGTCATCTTTAATATTCATAAACTCATACTTTTCACTTCCAGCTACTAGACTACTAGCGTCATCTTCTCCACTATTCTGCTCATATGTCTTACTACTATCTTCAATGTTGCAACAGTTATCTTCCTTGCTCTTCTGTTCATAACTTCTGCATGAGCTTTCATCTTCAGTGGCATCTTTGTCATCTTCATTGCTCTCCTGTTTGCTTCTTGTACTAATGCCCCCATCATACTCATCATTAACATCATATTCTCCTTTGCAAGTTAGGGCTGGTATGTAAGGCATGCCTTGATCATCCTCATTGTTACCTTTTTCTTGTGCGCACGATGGGTCAACAAGTTTGTCCTCTAAAGCTGGAGATCGTGGGCTAAGTGGACCATCTATAGAAGGCTCCACCTTGCAGTCTGCGTCCCTCTCGCACAATATATCCTTTGGGCTACCAATGTCTACAGACCTACTTGGAGAGAAAGAGAGACCCTCAGCTTTTGATTGAATGCTTCTAGTTGACCCACACTCTTTGTCAATCCGGTCATTGCTCATGGTTGAAGAAAGTGAATTATCATCAGTGAAATCCATGTTGTTTTGCATGTTGCTATGATCATTCGAATTGTAGAACATAGAATTGAAATCCTCATGGCGTTGATGGACAGGATCTCGCCTCATCTGGTCACTTGAGCTTTGCTCCATTTCAGGCACATATAAGGATGACGATGGTGCAAAGGGAATACCATCTTCTTGCTCATGCTTCAAAGTAATTATCTGACAACAAGACCCACACTGAAACCGATTCTGATTCTGCTTCCTCCCTATGCATTTTTCCATAGGCACCTGCAGTAGTTTATAACATGAACTGCATACAGAGAAAGGTGCGGCACCATCCACTGGACGGCAGATATGTTCTGCCTTCTTCCTGAAGTACTCTGCCCTCCTCTTCGATACAGACCGATGAGAGTAAAGTGATGATGCCACAGACCTCCGATCATAATCAGATGACACAGATGGCGACCTCTGGAACCGGTATGATTCATGCTGCCCGGCAAAGTATCTCGCCATTGGGATGTTCTCCTCTTGCGGCAAAGCCCTCTGCCCATGCAGACAGTGCGGACAGGCACACCCATAGTGATGGTAGCTCCCAGGCCCCATCCCGCCATTCTCCCACTGCCTCCCAGGGTACTGGCGGTAGTGCCCACTAGACTGCCTCACATACCTATCCCCATGTTCAGGGCGCTGCGGTGCGTATGGGCTTGGTGGTGGCAAGCCAGGCCCATACCGCCCGCCATAGCGGGAGCGGTGGTGGTACCCCGGCAGAGGCGGTGGCTCAAGATGCTCGGGGAGCATGGAGACCGCACGGCGGCTGACCCTGCGGTGCTCCCGCGGCTGGCCGACGACGTTGCCGGAGCGCGTGATCTGGTCCCTGAGCTCGTCCAGCTTGCGCAGCAGCTCGACGGGGTCCTGCTGCAGCGCGGCCCAGTCCGCGCCGCCCCTCGGGTCGCTGCATTGCGGCCGCTCCTCGGCCCCAATCCTCCGCCTGTACTTCATCTCCTTGAGATCGCTCCCCATGGTGAGCGCGCCTCCCCGCCGAGGCGAGGCTGCTCCGACCTCCCACTTTTCCCCACCGGATCGGCAGGCACTGGCGATATCCTGCACGAAGTTGCGCGATGCGGAGCGAAATTTGTAGGGTGTTAGAGCGGTGAACGAGCAGATCAGAGGGGCCCCGAGGGGGCCGTGGGGAATGGAGTAAGATCTGTCGGTTTTGTACGACAGAGAGAGAGAGAGAGAGAGGCGGGGGATGCGACGGCTCTTACCTTGAGACGGAGCTCGCTGCAGTGAGGCTACGGCGCGGGGGCGTGGCGGCGCCGCCGGTTCTCCATTAGGGTTTCGTCCCGCGGGTCGAGGAGGCCGCCATGAGAGAGAGATTGAGAGAGGGAGAGAGCAGAGTACTGTCGGGGAGCGGCGGCGGTGTCTGCGTTGTAACGGAGACGATGAGGGAGCCAAGTGAAACAACTTTTTTATATAGCCGCGGGCTCCCCAGGGACCTTTTCGAGATATCTAGGTTCCCGGAGGGCTGGGCCCGGGCGCCGCGGAGTTACGTGGGGATGTGGTCCGCCCTTTTGGAACGATCTGGCTGCGCCGCTGACGTGAGGGGTCAAAGACGCGGGCCCGCCTGGAGGCGAGCGCCCAGGGTGGGCCCGCCACGGGCGCACAGCTGGCGCCTGGCGGGGGCAGCTTCAGTTTCTTCTTCTCCGATACTCTTCCCCGTTCTCCGTCTCGCCTAAGGGCCTAGATGGCGAAAAATTTTGCAAAATGTGTCGTAACACTTTTCGTTGTTATTTAATAATGAATGTCAAATCATAGTCTAATTAGGCTTAAAAGATTCGTCTCGTGAATTTCTTCTAAACTGTGTAATTAATTTTATTTTTTATTTATATTTAATGCTTCATGTATGCGTCCAAAAATTTGATGTGACAGAGAATCTGAAAAATTTGGCAAAATTTTCTGGAACTATGCTGGACCTAAGCATTCCTTCCACGAGAAAAAAAAAACACTAAAAAATGGTGGGAGTACTTTATTTGTTTATTTATCAACGACTTGCACATGGTATGAACTTGGACGTGGACATGTAGTGTGGTACGGTGATTAGTTCGGTAAAGCTTGCAATTCTCTAAACTTGTTAACGTAAACGTCGTAACGGGACCGGGATTAAATAGGGTTGCTTAGAGGAGGGAATATGGTGTGCAATTGGTTACGGATGAAAGGGACTTGGGCCCTTGCATGTGTTGGGCGTTGAAGGAGGTATAGTGCTTTTTCACAACAGATTGTGTATAAGCTACTGAACATTTAGATAGATTTATACAGGAGTAGTATATATATTGTAATTAAATTAGCTATATGTATGCAGCCTGTTCGGTTGGCTGGTTTGTTTCGTTGCTGGTTCGTGAAGAAGTACTGCTGGCTGGTTTGTGTGAGAGAAAAATACTGTTCCGGCGGGAAATTTACGATCGTTTACGACAAGCCACAGCCAAACGAATAGGCTGATGATGCATGTACCGGATCTGAGGCCAGATTATGGCTCTATGCTCTTGCTCACAGCTTCACATCAGTAGTAAAAATACCCATAATAGGAAAAATGACTGAAAATCGATGAGAAAAAATTACATGTACACATACTGAACATCGGAGGATAGTGCATTCGTCTTCAGTTTAAACCTTTTTCCATTTTTCAACATGATTTTTGCCTCAACTAAATAGTGCCGCAATTTAAAGCGAGTAGTGTAGCCAACATGTTTCATTGGAGACCCGACTGCACATGTGCAATGGCATATGCATGCGAGTGGAGCTCGCATGTGAGCCGTTCGACGTGACGTGAGTACCATGGGCTTTTATAGCTGTACCGCTGTTTTTCGTGCACACCAGCACTTCTAGAACGCCGAATTTTATAGGTGGCAGCGTCTCAAGTGAACAAAAGCATTTTATGGGCCTGTCTGAATGATATTAATTCCAGCATTTACTTCAGCCCAAGTTACTTACACTACTGGAATCTCTCTTTTTTCTGTGTGTACAAAAACCCACGGAAAAATTCGAATACCGTCAGAAAAATATTTTTTCTAACGGTGTATCGTCAGAAAATAATCCACAGAAATAGAATGACAGAAAAATTGACTTTTCTGTGGGTTCACCGTCAGAAATAATTTTTCTGTGGGTCTCACATGCTCAGAAAAATTGTGTTCACCTAGATTAAAACTAATTTTTCTGTATGTTAGTCCACACAGAAAAAAAGAAATAAACGCACAGAAAAACACACGTTTTTTTCTGTCGGTCCAGTGAACTCACAGAAAAATTCATTTCGCCCAGATTAAAAATAATATTTCTGTGTAGCCAGCCGCACAGAAAAATCCATACAGTAATGAAGTCTACAAGCACGGCTCATAACTAATGACTATCATCATATTTCATCATACATGAATAGTATCATTTAGCTATGCATCAACATGTTACATTCAGCAATCTCGATACATATAATCAGCATGAAAGTTGTTACATGTCATTGTTGTTCATAACAATGGACTCAATGTTTCAATGTCATTATACAATTACAAAACACAATGCTATTGAAACCATATAAACAAAGCACGGCTACTGATCAACATATCTACAATCTGTTATCAAACTAAGAAATTCCCAAAGCCTCCTGCAAAAGACCATTTTTCATTAATTAGAGTAATCTTGTGAATAGGAAAAAATATTCAGAGGTAAAGAGAAAAGTAATTTCTAATAGACATTGAACTGAATTAACCATAACTCAAGATAGTGTTTAGACACTAGTCCACAAATTTCAGTAAGTTTATGAACTAGTTAATTTCAGTAAGATCTTATAGCTTAGATGATACTAGCTAATATTTGGTTTCATCAACAAAACTGAAAAACCTAATACTTTTCTCCACTAACTCTAATTAGAAAATCAGAGGCACATCATTTTGGAGATGAAATAAGAAATATGCCTATTGTCAACATCAAGAATAAATAAAAATAATTATAAAAAAACTAGTTCAAATGAGAATACCTAAAGACAGCCAGCCATCAGTATATTTGTCAGTCAAACTATACTGATCATTGCAGACTTTGACCATGTGTTGGTCCAGAATCTTTTCCAAACCCTGGAAGCACAAAAACAACCCAATTTAGCAATCACAGACATCCCATTGATAAAAGTACAAAAGCAATAGAATGACATAAGAATAATACAAAAGCAACAGAAAGGTTCTTATCCGATAATAATGTTGCTCTGAAAATATTTTCAGAACTGAATTTTTTGGATTCGATTACTTATCATTACTAAACTATTTTTTTAAAAAAAACTATCCTCATAGAAGGGCCTTTCAGCAATGCATGTTGTCCAGTGAATTCTGTGCAAGGGGACCTTCATATGTTTAGGAGCTCGAAACCCATTTGGCACAGTGTAGCAACTCATAAGTATATAGACAAGTGCATATATATTACACAGAAAACACGGACTCTTCTTATCATAGACACACATCTAATTAAATAGGATGTACATTTCATTCTCAAGAAATGAAAAGAGAGTTACAGTAGTTCACTACAAAAGTGATCTGAGCACTGCATCCTGCTATATATTTACAAGGTTTGCTCTTGAATACATTCATAGAGTTCCTGTTGCAAGGTTGCCATGTAACTTTTCATATCAAGCAGAAATGCAATAACATGGACACCATAAAGAGAAAAACAGATGGTAACTGCTAATGCATGGTAACTGCTAATGCATGGTCTGAATTTTTAGACGCAAGCAACATATACGCAACTGTATTTTCAATTCTACTACGAACCACATAGAAATATTAACTTTTTACTAAATATACAAATGTTACTACTGCTAGTCATCATATAAATTCATAGGTCAGAACTAAGGAAGAAAAAACAAACATATATCATAGTACTAAAACACTAGGAACAATTAGGAAATTCTCAAGCAGCACGGAAGCAAAGCGCAAAGCACTAGGAACAACCAGACATGAGAAGGATGACACCCTGCAAACATGAGTTGCCCCAGGAATTGAACCAAGACCAGGCACTGTAGGGTGCAGAAGAGGAGCTGCATTGAGAAAAGCACCAAGGATGAATCATGATTGGTATTACCTTTGGAGTACTCAAACCAAAGAAAGTGCCCATCCCACTAGTCAAACTCTGAAACACAAAAGGTTGACGCGTCCATTGAGTAAGATACAAAGACACACAAAAGGGTAAATCTACTATAACAAAATTTAACTCAAGTTTCTTATGAAGCCAATCGTTGAAATTTGCATCAAACTGGTAAGGATATTGTAACAAGTTTCCCCTCATTTGTCAAGTTCAAACATTATTAATTCGCCATCTTGAAATTTGCAGTCAGTGCAACTGGCACTAAATACTAGAACTGCAGTAAACACTAAACAAAATATTTCAGCCAAACCACTTTACACCAAAGAACTGGAGGAGGTCCATGAAGAATGACCTTGATAAGCTAGATATATATGGAAGCATGCGTTCTTTGTAGTGGTGGTTGAATCTCGGCGATAATATAGTAGAGGTCAATAATGGGAGATGTGGGTACAAATGATGGCTTTGGTACAAGCAAGCAAGATAATGGAATTCTAAATGAAATGAAGTCTCTGCAGATTGCCACAAAAAATCAAATTATGGAGGAATAGTCCATTCGGCACCTCAAGAACCAAATGTGCTGACTCCGCCATCAATTAATTAACAAATAAATAAATATGCTCCAAATAATGGAACTATACTAAATATTTTTAAGAGTTATACTTATCAAAATGTCGGGGAAGATTATTATGCAATCAACTAAAAAAAAGGTACTGGTTTGTAATGCCACTGCGGTCCAATTTACGCATTAGAAGAGCTCGAAGGCGGCATTCAAAGGTGCTGCAGGGACCACACAACAAACATAATGTTATAGATAATATGTACGAACACCTATTTTTGTATAAGACTAAGTAGGCTCGTTTTAAAGAGTCATGAAAAGACCAAAAGGACTTGGGCACACTTTTTAT